GCCAAACAGCTCCGCCATCACCATCAGTTACATGCGATAAGGACGACAAATGCACCAAGCACAGCCCCTGACTTCTAAGATCTCGCTTCAGTTCTCCGTTTTCGTAGTCAGTGGGAACCTGATATATATAAGAAGGTTATATTAATGACATAAAACAATTAATAAAAATAAACTACCATCTTATCTATTGCGCTGCCTAATTTTTGTGGACATGCCGTGAGTGTACTAACTTGGATTGAACGAACATATGCATGGCGTAATACTATCAATGAAGAATAAGATTTCCAACATTTTAATGAAAAAAATGAGAATACTAGGGTTTAAGCAAAGAGCCCAGATTCTCATTACTCTAACAATTCTATCAAGTTTTTGTTCACTCTTGCATCGATCCAGAATGTATAATATATCATACTCCAAAAGGGAAAAAGTGTTTGCTGTCAAGTATATAAAGACTTTGAAGTTCCATTTGAAAATGTTAATCTAGTTACGGGAAATAATTCAAATATTTATGTATTATCCTGCCCACCAATAGGGTGGCAAGATGTGGTGTGGTCTTGCCATCTCACCGGCAAGGTCTAAAATATTGGTGAGGTGACAAGACCAGCCACCTTATCGGTGGACAATATATCTTCTGTTCATAGTGAACACGAGATCAATCTATCAATTTATATTTAGGTATTTAACGATGTGATATTTATCACTTAACATGTCCCTTTAAGATGGTGACTCTTTTGAGAGTATCTATCGTGAAACCAGTGTCCTTATTTGAGTTTTGATCAGATTGATTTGCTCGTTTAAGTTTAATGAACTTTGATGCCTTATTAAAAATTAGAGTTTCATTTCAAAATATCAATCTTGTTAAGGGGAGTCATTCAAACCCTTATATGTAGAGAGGGAGAGAGAGAGAACTCCATGTGATGACAAGTCGAACCGAAACAAAAGAAAACGTTAAGACTAAATTTCAAGAGATTAAATGCATTTAATTTAATTCATATATATGAAAAAGAGTTGTTCACTTAGTTTCTTACCCCTTTCATTGCTCTGCCGGTCTCGTTACTGGATGACTTCATGTAAGGGACAGTTAGAGTCTGCAATTAAACATAGTCAAAATATTAGCAAAAGTAAAAAACATCCTTTTATGGGAAAAAATAAAATAAAATTACAGAAGACAATGTAAATTTGTGACAAAATTCATGTGAAATTGCAAACTGTCGATTGTGGAAATATAGCAAAGCATTTGATTAGCCATGAGTTCAGAATTCTGTGTGGAAATTTGTATAATTTGTCTTCAAGGCCTAAATGGTGAAAAAACCTATTTAACATTAATTCCTAAAACTTTCTGTTTTATAAAGGTCAAAGCATGCAATTAAGTTAATTTTTAATAAAGCTCCACAAATAAGTCAATCCGCAACAAAGTCCACAATGAAGTACAATTCCTAATCAAATTGATCTTCCAAATACTTTAGTCAAAGTGTCCGAAAGTTAATGCTCCGTTTGAGTTTCATTTTATTCTCCTAAAATTTTACGAAATATTAATTTTAATCATGCATTTTATAAGATACATAACCACTCATTTCTTAAAAAATAGAATTTTAATAAAATAAAATGAATTCCAAACAACGGCTCTGAATTTTTTTAGGGAATATTAAAATTAACACAAGTTTTTTAATAGTGTTTCAAAACGTTTTACAGAGTTTCTGAGACATAAATCCTAGAAAATTAGAAAATTTTGTGAGATCTTAGCCCATTTGGTCCTCATTTTCCTTCAAACTCATTTTCAATCACATTTTATGAGATTCACAACTTTTTAATAACACATTTGATCAATTCTTTTTCAAAATCTACTAAAAGTTTAATATTTATCCAAACCAAACCAGGGCTTAATCTATCAAAGATAGTAAAAGTTCATTTATTTATATTTTATCTTCCATAATTATAACCTAATCTTCTTTTGTTTATATCTTTTTCTACATAAGCAACTTAACCACGGTTTGATAAATTTATAAACTAAATATGAATAATAAGAGGAATATTAGTAGGTTTTGTGAAATGCATAGATAATTAATTTGTAATAGATATAAATATATATTGAAATCAATAATTAATTTTAATTGAATTTATAAACCATTTATAAATTTACAGCCAAAAGAAGCTTATATTTAAGAAGATTTACGTCCTGTTTGTTTCAGATTAAATTAGATTTTAATCTAACTCTAAGTTAAAGTTAAACAATCAATATTAATCACATCTTTTGTAGGTCCCACAGCTTTTCAACCATACATTTTAAAAACTTTTATCACAATCTACTAAAAATCTAATTTTAATCTCCACCAAAGGCGTACAAACTTATAAGTAGAGTTTATTATAGAATGAGACAAAAACATGAGTTTAACAGAACTTCAAATACCGAGGAGAATGTTTTACCTCGACTTGGTTTTGAAGGAATTTGATATAACCAATGGCCTCCATCAGTACGGATGCTGTGTCTGTCTGCAATATTCTCCACCCACCCGCATGCAACATCAATTTATGCGCTATCAGTAATTAATTATTTTACCAAAAATAAACTGTAAAAGTAATGTCCTATCCTAAGCATGCAGATCATTCTGCTCATTTATCTGTAAAAATTAACTTTACACCAGACGTTATGGTTTTTAGATTCTGTGTCCGGGGACATGCATACTAAAGTCTCAGTTTTCATTTAGAACATGTTTGCTTGGTTTTAAAAGTTGCTTTTTCTTCTTATAAAATAATTTGCACATGAATTATTATTTTTCCTAATAAAAAAATCACTTTTCACAAAATCTATTATCAAAAAACACACCATACACTACATATGTAGTGGCTACACATGCATCGTTGAACTATATACTCTATCTAAGATTCAAATTATGCAAAGGAGACAAATTTATGTATTTAAAATTTGACTTCAATAGGTCCCAAAGGTGAAGATTAGGTTTATTTTTTCATCAAATGTATGATGTGTGCTTAATTTTATAAATGAATAGTGAC